AATAAGCAAACTTAGTCTCTATGAAGAATCTTTTCTTTCTTTTGTCTAAGATGGAACCTTATTAGACGGCAATGAGTAATACTATGGAACAGAAGAAGCAGTTTTATCTCAATCTCAAGTGGTTTTGTTTAATAGCCAGCAGGTGTTTCTTTTTAGTTTAGCTTTCTAAGCAGCTTTCACTTTGACCAAAAGGGAAACAGAGAAGTAAAGGAGTGGATGAGGGGTTTTGGATGTCAAATGACAACAAAATCAGAAACAGTGTATCCAGGTACTGGTGTATATTAAATCATGCTTGGGATCAGTCAGTTCTGGTCCACCCTTGGCGGGAGATGAACTTGTCCACCCATTTGTTTTGCCAGCCACATATCAGGATGTATTTTTTTTGTAGGGGAAGAGCTGATCTCCAAGATTGACATGGCAGAAGTTGTCCAAATTTTCACCACCCAGATCAGCAGATGAAGCCTCGAATAAAACAACTACATATGATATGGGAAACTGTTCTCTTTCTTATTTATTGACATGGCGTTTGTCTTTCATCTTGTAAGCATGCAACAGGCCCTTTCCCAGCTTTTGGTGAATGCTGATGAGACTAAGAATCAAAATACAACGTTGGGTAATGATGTTAAGTAAAAGTGTCCTTTTTGTTGTCCAAAGTGTCACCTAGTTACTCGCACAGACAAGAAGGCAAAAACAGGGATGTTTATGTAGCATTTAATTTCTAACACTTTGAACTCTGCTACTGTTTACTGTCCAAGATTTGCCGTTGCACAAATTTGAACTCTGCTACTGTTTACTGTCCAAGATTTGCCGTTGCATGTTGATAAGGCCAGTCTAACCTTGATTTCAGGCGGATGTTTTTGTCTTTCCAAATGGTTCTTAGATTTGGCAAAAGCTGCCATTATTTGTGCTACTCTTGAAATTATTTCTATTCTGGAACCCTCTTCAATGATAATCAAACCAAAATATTTCAATTTTTCTTTTTATCTTGAGTATTATTTTACTATTACACCCATTTCATCCTCGACATGTAGCCAGCTGACCAATGAGAGTGAAGGGCAGAATTGATCATGAGCATTATGTCAATAAGAGAGATGGGTAAAATAGTACCTTGGTTGAAAGCCATATTTCATTTGCTATACAACTTTGTCGAGCCAGAAAATTTGGTTTACAAACATAGTGAATACAGAAGAAAGTTTTAATGTTTGGGGAAGAAAAAAAAACGAATGTTCCTTGTGGTGAAAATGGGTAGGGCCACTCTTCTGGAAATATCTGGTCTTGTTCTGGGGCTGTTATATTAAGTTCTCCCCTCGTAACTTGGTAGGTTCTTGCTAGTGTAACAATATGATTTCTCATGTCTTTAGAAGATAAGCAGATTGTTGTAGCATACCTATGGGCGATAATGGGTATGTCCCCATTTGCGTAAATACAGTAGTGAATACTGTATGTTGGTCTGCAGTTGCAGATTCATTGTGGAATTCACTTGCTTACTTCTTCTATATGCAGCTGGTGAATCTTATGTGTTGTTCTTTTCTTAAGTATTAACGTTCATTACCAACCTTCATGATTATTCTATTCAGTAACCTTCCCTAGGTTACAGCAGAGATAAATTCCTTCCTTTTAAGTCCAATCAGTTGAGTTTCGTAGGAATTTTGTCTCCAGTCCATCTTTGAGCTAACTTAAGTGTCTGGTTTTCATGATTCCTGTCTCCATTCTGCCTTTGAATTAGCAAACATAAAATTTCATCAATGATTTTAGATAGTCATAAAAGTAGTCTTTTAAAGATTTGACCATCCATGTAGTTTTGGGGTAGTTCAAAACCTTCCGGAACATAAGCAGATGGAGTGGAGTGGGACTTCAGCAATTTATATAAGCAGAGATAGGCAGGAAGTCAAAAGAAAGGCGGTTCAGCCATGAGAGAAGTAGGTAGGTGACTAGAGGAGTTAGGAGCTGCCAAGAAGGACTAGTAGTAAGGAACCAGGAGTCACTCGAGCACAGAGATCATTGAGGAAGAGACCAGCTAAGATAGGGAGATTGCAATTCAACCAAAGGAAATGATAGCCGGCTAAGTGAGAAATCATATTGTTGGGAACTCCCAACCAGTGTCTTTAAAAACATCTGTTGTTACTATTATTATTTGTTGAAAGCAATCACAGGCAACGAGACAAAACTGTACACACAGCGAGTTGGGTGTATATGAAAATACACTCAACCTTGGATGTCAGCACAGCTGCAGTAAACAATGGACGAACATTGTGACAAAAATTGTCACAGTTATGCCACGAATGTTGTTACACTAGCAGCAACATGTTTATCTCCCCCACAATGGACTTAACCTCTCAGCTCCATATAAAACCAGGGCCCATTTCTTCTTGAAAGATTCTACCACATTCCTGGAGAACCATTGTCAGTCTGATCCAGGTGTTATTAAATAATATATTCCTTAGTCAGTTTTTGGTTTTTCATTAACAATTTGTCTAAGAACATTCTCAGATCATTGGTAATTATCTTTATGGCTGCAGCACTGCAGCTGATCTTGTTCTGTCACTATATCCATGGAAAGTGCTTGGACGAAATGCATTCCTTGGTTCCACCAGGTCCACCTGTCATGACTAGGACCCACCATGCTACTTACATTGTAGCAAACCACCCACACTCCCTTCGTATTACAAGGGTGAGAAGTAAGTTCCACTTGAATAGCTTCTTCCTGCAAACCACTACTCAGTGGAACAAGGCTCCCAAGAGCAGGTTTCTCCTATCACTACAATCTTAACTTTTTTCAAGTCTAGAGTTAACCTTTTATCTTCTCCTCATAACCCTCTACCTTGAGTGGCTCCTGGGCCTTGTACAGGATGAATATTACTGTAAAAATAAAGAAAAAAGTCCAGTGGGTAAATAACTGGCTTGTTAACTTCAATACTTTAATCCTGTTTCCACCTGACATAGATGTATGGGTACTTTTTTTTAGCAATCATGTCTTTTTCAAATACGGCCAAATAAACACATCCAAAACATAATGTTCAAAACCGGCTACAGACGTGTTTATATGCTGATCTTGATTTTTTTTTTTTTTTTTTTTTTTTTTTTAATGCCCTTCTGAGCTGGAAATGTTTCCAATTATCAACTCGTATGTCTGGTCGAGGTGTTATCCACCTGCTCGGATACGTCAAGGTGCCTCAGTTTCTTAGTTACCATATTAAAAACAAATAAAAAAAAAAACAGTCTGAAAATGTAACGTTTTTCCCAAAATAATTGGTGGTGAAAGGGTTAAGATGGAATCATCTATTCTGACGGGTCTCTAATTTGTATTTACATACATTTTATTCATTTTCAATTTTTCTAGTTGAAAATTTTTTTTATATTGCATATGATCCATTATTGTACTTAATTAGGTTACAATAAAATTTGTATTTTATATGGACATTATCTTATGAAAATTGAGATGTCAGAGAGTGGGGTCTGTATCATAGATTGGGAGCCATGAGACCCTGGCAACTATCCTGCATGAGAAAGTACATGAATTTGTTTCACTCATGCTAAGTCTGAAAAAAAAAAAACACTACATAAAATTCACTATTTATGTTTTTACCAAAAAAGTGTCTTTTTCAGACACTGACAGATAAACACGTCCAAAACATAACGTGTTTAGAAACCAGCTACAGACATACGTCGATCTTGATCGTTTTTATGCCCTTCTGTGCTTGAAAGGAGTCCAATTGTTGTCAACTATATCTGGTAGACGTGTTAGTCACCGCACTGGTACTTCAAGGTGCCTCAGTTTCTTAGTTACTATATTAAAAACATAATCTGAAAATGTAACATTTTTCCCAAAATAATTGGCAGGGAAGGGGTTAAAAAAAAAAAAGCTGCTATCATTTCTGCATCACTGATTGGGTCCCAAGTTTTCTCAGGTTAAGATGAACAATTGCATTCTTAATGAGGCTCCATGCCTAATACTTTTGGCTCTCGTGCGATTCAAGCCCGTGCATGCACCACTGGCTCCAGCATAAGCCCAACTGGTGCCCACATGTTTGACACAAATGCAAACCAAACCTACTTCTACCTAAACCCTTGTGCAAATTAATTGAAACAACCACTTTAGTTTCCTTTCTTTCAGCATGCGGTTAGTTTTAGATCCACTGGAGTGACAGTGTGTAATCGATTTCTATTTTTTTCTCAGATTAGGTCATTTGCAGTGATGTGCAGTCATATGAATCTATTTTCAGGGTGTATGACGAAATTTGTGTGGCCTTGAAAAATATTGCATCAGATTTTTATTCTACCCATTTTTCACATTTAAAACTATCTATTAGTTGTCCTACAGCCATTGTCTACGATGGCCATTACTACAAGGAAGCGTACGAAAATTGTAACGCTGCATGGACACACTGGTAAACCTTACAGAAAGATCACGGACTGTACAACGAAAGAAGTTTGTGACACCCATTATAGACGTGTGGTACCGTGACCCCAAAATCAACAGGGACTGTTCCAAATTGGGGGATTCCATGCTAAATTGCATGAAAGAGCTTCTAAAAAATAATGGCAAACATATAAAGTATTAACGTGTACACTGGGTCATATTTCATTGGAAAAATCCAAAAATATAAATAATAAAATTGTTCATTTTGTTTCAATTAATTTGAAGGTATGTGTGTGTATATATATATATATATATATATATATATATATATATATATTTATACAAGGGTGTATTAGAATTAAATTACAACAGATATAACCTGATATGACAATGCCATAAAGAAAACTGAAACCAATCTGAAAAGTTCTCAGACCAACCAAGAAGCACTTCTAGAAGAAATATGACAGTCATTTGGTCAGATCTTCGGAATTGGATAACTTTTCAGCACCTACTTGTTATATTAAAGAATTATTCTGTAAACAGAATTGGTAGCCTCATTTATATAGAAGTGAATCTGAATTTTATTTCATTCAATGCATACACGTTAAGTAAATTTTTTCTTGATATCTTTTCATTGCAGTCCTTCGAGCATCTTTGGGATGATTATGCGTCATCATTAAATACAAGAGTCCAAGATCCAATCCAAAAGCAACTCAACAGATTTCCAGATTTAAGGGTAAGTCCTTCAAACTGTTATTGTTGCTTCAACAATCTTTCTCAACACAATTTGTCTTATGCATTTATAGGTCTACCCTTCATCCATACATCGCATACTGCTGCCACAGCTTGCCTGGTGCTTCTGCTATGTATTTAGAGATCTTACTTATTATAAAATGCAGATTGTGTGTGTGTGTGTCTGTATGTTTATATATTGGATCGGATTTCCTACATTTTTCAACTGATTTCAACAAAACTTCACAGGACTGTGTAAAATTACCTTGCGGTGGTTCTGACAGTGCCAAAAATTGGAAAAAACACAATTGATTTTGCATGAAATCAAATTGAAAACACAATTAAGTCGCCAGAATGAAAGAGGGACAACTCATATCGAGTTATACTTATTATAAAATCCAGGTTGTTTGTTGTGTGTGTGTGTTCCTTTATATATGGGATCGGATTTTACATTTTTCAACCGATTTCAACAAAACTTCACTTTTTTTTGGCAGGTAGTGTTTTTATTGTCTTGCACACTTTTTTTTTTTTTACATTCAGAATGCTTTAAAAATTCCATTTACAAGACAATTGTTTATAATAAAATTTATTCAATCGGTAGACTCATAACGATTGAAAACAATGTTTTTGTTTGAGTTTGGGTTTGACCAAAAAAGCAAAGAAAAAAAAAAAAAACTAATTAAGACATGCGTGTCCGTCAACCTTAAACAATAATCTTTGTCAATTTTATTTTTCAGTCTTTATGATGGTCGATACTTGATCTATCTCTTACTGTTACACGCCGGGCTCTACTGCTAGTTCTTGATAAAATCCAAAGAAGAATCTGCAATGTTATTGGTCCTGACCTGGCATCTTAGCTTCCCTGTGCCTTTTTTATAAATATTTTCATGATAATTGTTCTGATGAACTTTCCTCTATGATCCATAGATTTTATGAATTTAAGCACAGTGCTAAATTGGCAGTTAGGTCTAATCATTTTACAGTTGAAATGGCAAGATGTAATCATAAGTTTTAGGCTAACCGTGTGATTGTGAAGTTGCAGAGAAAAGGCCGTATTGATATTTGCTTATATATATTTGCTTATACAGTTAAAATAGCTAGATGTAACCATAAGTCCTATGCTAATAGTTTCTTCTCTCGCACTTCTTGCCTGTGGAACACTCTTCTATCCACTTGCTTTTCAGTCAATTTTGATCTTCAAAATACGATATGGCCTTATCTCTATTTCTTTACAAAAATCTGAGCGAGTCTACAAACTCCTTGGCTTATCATATTGAGCAGAATGTCTTCTTTGTGTTTACCCCCAACAAAGAAATGTGGAAAGCATTACAAATGTGTATGTTATGAGTTGAAACTGTATTTTTCAGTAGATTAACTTTCTGTACATTGAAAAAAAAAGAACATATGTGGTTAATTATCACCGGTTGAATTCCAATGAAGACTCAAGTTGCCTCACAGCAACTTGACAATCACTACTATTGGTCGTTATTATGTAGACGTCTAAGATTCTCATTAAACCGTGATATCTTTTTTGTTGAACACCACTGAAAATTTAAGCAGTGTACATTCAACAAACGGAGCCCGTTCGTGAGCTTGGCAGACGGAGCCCGTTCGTGAGCTTGGCAGACTTCTCCTTTCATGTGTTCAAATGGCTGACTACCATCCCTACATCTAGCTGATTAACAGCATAGTCACTAGTAGGGAACTCTTGCCATTTTTCTGTTTGTTGCTCAATTGCTTTTTGATTGTTTTGTTTGTTTAGCGGCATATCAACTCCTTATGGGTCATTTAATGCCGAAATTGAATTTTCTTAGTAGCATTAGCAATTTCTTTTAGAAACATGTATTACTGGTAAGATTTTTACTATGAAAATGCATTGCTGCCACCTTAAGTATAAAAATGTATTTCTACACTTTTATAGTGTTTTGATCCCAGTTTGGATATTCACTATTTGTCCATAGCTAACAGGTGCTAACACCCTGGGTCAGGTTGGACCTGGGAACAACAGCAATTAAGAGGTGGTCTCAAAACCTCCCAATTGGAGGTCTTGCTGCCAGATGTAGTTTATCATCATACCCAGGACAAAGTTGTTGGTTTATATAAGAAATTTAACATGACCTCTGACCCAACAAATATTTACTACTCTAAGTATTTGTCTAGTGTTACCAGAGGATTCTACTGTTCTCAATACTTAACCAATTTGAAATTTCTATATTTATTTATTTTTTCTCTTCTCAATAATTCCATTACTGAGTGGAGGTCCTTAAGGTGTATTTTTGAAAGAAATTGTAGCAAGAATGTATTTCAAACGAATGGTAGTGACACAAATATTTTTAAGTTTCTCAGCCAGTTTTTGATTAAAAAAATAAATGTTATCAAATTCCTGCAAGTAAATCCATATATTCAGTTTCAAGTCACTTTGGTACCTTCTCTCATCTTCATTTTCTGATTGTAATTAATATTTGTGGACTATTTATTATTATTATTATTATTAACCTTCTATTTATCAGCTATTTGATTAGAAATTTTCTTATGATCAAATCTTTAACTGTTTCAAGTCACCAATTACAAATGTCCTGCACTATTAACCATCAAATTCAAGGTTATTATTCTTTTATAAATCAAAACATACTTTTTTTACTCTTTAAGGGCAAGATAAACAAGAGAGGACGGAAACTTGTGGACCTTGACAACAGTCGGCATGTGTTGGAAAATCTCACCAATCAAAAGAAGAAAGATGAAACAAAAATTACAAAGGTTCGTTATTTATGCGTTGTTAAAATTAAAGTGCCTGTAAATTAGACCTTCTGATGTTACAGCGGTTTTTGTTTCCTTTTATTTTTTTTTATTTTTTTTTTTGTTTTGTCTATTTTTTTTTTTTTTTTTTCTATTTGTTTAATTTTTAGTTTATAAGCAAGTTTGGATTTTGATCAGTACTTGGATCAGGATTGCTTAATTTTTGCACAAGAATTAGTACTCTAATTTTTTTTTGTTTTGTTTCATAATTATTTCATTCCAAGCAAGGCAATAAAGCCACTAAGATGCAAGGGGTTACTGAGAGTGGGAGAATCTGAGAAAAGTAACATTATTAAGGAGAGAATAACAAACTTCAAGGAGACAGAAGATGGGGATTAACATTGCATTTAAATTTTTATTTTATATATATATCTGTGTGTGTGTGTGTATATATATATATATATATATATATATATATATATATATATATATATATATAGTCTTCTATTTTTATTTATTTATATATAGTGATTTTCCAAGTATGGGCTGAAAGTAGAGGCACCCAGTGAAGATCAAACTCACTACTCAGTCGTAATTGTTCTAGCAAGACAAGCTTGCTAACCATTACACCACCCAGGGGTGCCCTATATATATAATCTTAAAAAGGGCCACACCATCAATGGAAAGTACTATACCAACTTGCCGAGGCAGATATGAAAGGCTACCAAGACCAAGTGCCCAAGAAAAACTGATGAAAGATTCTTCATCAGGATAATGGTGTAGCATGCACATCCTTGCTGTGTGAGATTGTGGCTTTGAACTAGTTGATCACCCACCCTATTCTCCTAATTTGGCTCCATCTGACTATCATCTGTTCCCCAACCTGAAAAGACACTTTGCTTGGAGCCAGTATCACAATGATGACATATCTGCTGTTCATGCCCTTGTTGACCAACAGGATGAAATCTTCTTCACCAATGGAATCCAAACACTGCAACACTGATGGAAGAAGTGTGTGGACTGCAGGGGATGGGGGCTATGTTGAAAAATAAACCTCATTTGATCACATTCCATGGGAGTATATTGGTCAACTTATGTACTTTTCAGCTGACCCTTGTATGTGTATCATAATTCTAGTTTGTCTATGTGGGATTTGGATGATGATGATGTATATTCGTTTGTTTGTATGTGTCTGTATCTAGTAGGCATTTTTATTCATATTTGATTGTTATCTGCATGTTGATTTGGGGAGGTTTTGTGTTAGCATGAAATTGTTAAACATGATGTTTTAGCAGGTAGACATATTCTAGATTCCTTAACTAGGAATTTTGTTAAAGCTTTTGATATGATAAAGTGTGTTTGACATGCCTTTATAGATGGTAAGAGATTTACTAGAATTCCTTCACATTATTTCCTGTGTAAAGACGTTTTTTCTAACATAGTAACGTCTACTATGTTGATATAATAGATCAGCTCTTACCTCTTACCAACTCTTCACCCATCTACCCATCCCAACATGGGATTAGCAATACAAATGGGTTGCACAGTTCCAGTACAATGGACAAGTCTGTCTCCCGCCGAGGACGGACGATAACTAACTCTCCAATCCTAAGCATGACTGTCAATATAAATGAGCACCCAAATATAACCTATTTCTGGCTTTGTTGTCACTCGCCCTCACCCATTCCTTTACTGTTCTGTTTCCCTTTGATCAAAGTAGATGCTGTTTAGAAGACCAGACTTAAAAAATCATCCGCTAACCAGAAACACTGGTGATGCTAACACTGGCTGCCCATACTGTCAGGCATTCACTTATATACAAATACCTCTGGAAAACACATGAATTTGTCTCCACCTCCCAGCTATGGGTTAAATAGTAGTATTTATTTACATTACTTATCTGGGAAAATTATTCTCAAAAAAAATATTAATGCAATATTTTAAAAAAGGGAATTACTCTTACAATCCAAAATATGTTTTGGCTTGAAATGACCCACAAAGGTGTTGATAAGTCTGTTTATGTTCTTTTTCTACAATTCATAATAGTACACTGTTATGATGTCGATTTGGGGTTAGTAGAGACAAACGCCAAATAACATGTAACAAATAAAAGGGTTTTAATCGATTGGTAAAAGGTACAGAAATCACCTGAGTAGTCAATAACTAGCTCAGCTAAGAACTTCTCTGTCTATCTATCTCCTTCATGTCAACTGACATGCCACTATTTAAAGTCTTTGTTCACAGACGCAGACAAGTTCATCTTCAAGAGGGGTGGTAGGTTTCTGACACAACATACAGTTATCAGTTTCAAACTTGACAACTGTAAATAAAAACAGAGTACAGAGAAGTCAGGGATCAATTTGTGACTGTATTTATATTATGAAAAGGACCCTCTTCTAAAATAATCTTAAAATATCAATATTTTTTGATGCCATGCAGAGATGAAGGTAGTGCCCAATATGAAAAATAATATCTATGAAATAAAGTAGAGTGATGAATAGCAGCTCAGACTGAGGAATTGGAGGGCTGAGTTCAAATTCCAGTCGAGTTCATTAGCTTCACTTACATGCTAATACACTTGGAAAAGATATGAATCCAGCTCTTCTCCCTCCAACTATAGGTAAATAGCAGGACAGATTGGTCTTTATAGCCTTGGTTGACAACCAGTCTAGGAGAAGGAAACACTGACTTGAAATAGGGTTGGCTGTCTGGCTATTTTACCCAAGACAAACCACGACTGTTATTGCTTGTAGTATATATGATGACCCTTGTGCTTTAGATGCTAAACCTTGCTACTGTGTGAAATATTTAATAATGCATGCTGGTTCCTTTAATTTTTCGAATTCTTCACTTATGTTCCATATCCACCTCCAGATATTTGATATTATAGACCTTTCTTCTTTTTCAATTTTCTGGAAGTAGCTTTTCTGCTTTTTTGTGTACCTGAGGAAGGCTGCAGAATAGAGTGGCTGAAATGAAAAAAAAAAAGTTTTAAAACAACTGATTGTAACAGAACAAAAGACAATTAACAGGTGTGAAAGCAAGAGAAATAAGGTAAAAGATTAAAAAAAATAAAATAAAGTAAAAAAATTAATAATAATTAACAATGCTTCAACTAAGAAATTTGTTATCTCCCAGGTTGTTGGGATGAACAAAAAATGAATGAAAATAAGGCAAGTGTATTTTAACAGATTATGAAATAACTTTTATTTGTTTACTGCACGAGAACAGCATGGATTTCTTTGGATTTAAAACATGAGTCCCATGTGCGTATCAGCTTATCATCATGTTGAATTCAGAAGTGCCCAGTCCAACTAGCACACAAGGGCCATAACTCAATCATATTTTGAATTATCGTCCTTTATAGGGGGGGAAGTAAGTTAACACCCCAAACAAAATTCAAACAACTTAAGATTATTAAAATAGAGATTTAGCTCACACACCCACTCAAATGAAATATGAAACAAGTTTCAGTCTAAAGTGGAAGCCCATAGACATGGACTAGGGGCAAAAACTGTTCAAGCTCACTCAGCATAACCTATTTTGACAATTCTGTAGGTGCTTAGCCCTTTCTTGAAGGAGGGATATTGCCCGGAATGATAGCCTCATGAATTCACAATCATGTCTGTCGAGAAATTTGTATACCATACAGCCATTGAAAAAGACTATAGTGCTCAATATTTAACTGCACCATGGATTTGTGAAGTGAATTCTGATCCTGACAGATCTTGAATAAATAAAATTAAAATTTCTTTACTTTTGCTGTTCATAAATTGACCGTATCTAGTGCTGCTTTATTGAATCCTGCTCTGGGGATTCAAAGTTAAATCCATGTGCAATATCTGATAATCTCATTAGCAAACAGTAACAAAAATTTTGAAGACAACGAATAATTGTAGAAAGCAGACAACAGCAAAGATTCAACTTCTAAATCTTTCATCATTCATTCTATCCAATTTCAATAAATTGATTGCAATGTTCTCTTGTGTGTGCTTTCATTAAATTCTTTCCTTTACACGAATTATTTCTTTTTCCGATAAACGTTATTTTTAATGGGGACATGTATTCGAGTTTTTCTATCCCTGTTTTTTCATTTTCTAAAACATTGGAAGTGTAGCGGTATTGACGGCCTAAATCAACCCTTACTTTTTTTACTTTACAAATGTGTAAGCAAACGCATAAGTAAGAAGAGAAACAACAAGAAGGAACGCAAAACGGTTTTATAACAAGCAAAGAATATTTATATATGTGTAATAATGTACAAGCAGAGGAGTTACTTCCCTTTGACTGGAATTAAAGTTTTTACTAATGAAATATTTTTATCTGAGCTCATAAAAAGTTGAATGAACTTGCCACTCAAAATGTTTACTGTGAGAAAGTTGAAAGAATTCTGTAAAGCTGAGAATATGTTGATAAAGAAAGAACATTGCAATCAATTTATTGAAACTGGATTCTGTTTTTGTTTTTATTAGTTCGGTTCAATTCATTTCGTATTTTGCTTTGCTAAAGTCCACATTGGATGAAACATGACAGCAATTACTAGTTTTCCTATTGTCATTTCTATTCATAAATATTGTCTTCTCTACTGGTTAAATCAGAGAAATTTTCATATATATATATATATATATATATATATATATGTGTGTGTGTATATATATCATAAAATAATAATTGTGACTATTAGTCTATATAAAATTTTATCATTTAGCATATATCATGATGAACAGAATAAATTGCTCGATCTCTGATAAGAGAAATAATTATTGAATCAGATGTAATGAAAATCAATACTTATCGATACTGACTCAGTTTCATAATTTTCTCTTATTTAAAGTACAAAACGACTACTTTTGGGGCCATTTTAAAAAAAAATTACCAGGGGTGACCTCAAACTTTGGAACTGGAGCATATATCTGCCAGCTTCAGTTTCTATAGCCAAAATGTAAACAGCAATTTTTGAATGGACTTTTTTATTCAACATCATTTCTTTATTATTTTAATGTTATTTTTAGTGGGTCCACATGTATGCTGTCCCTGTTATCCAAGGAAATGAATAACAACCGGCCTAGATTAAGAAGTCTTATTAAAGAAGGATTGTGCCTCCAATGGGAATTGAACCTGTTGCCCACTTTTTTCATCAGGGAAACTTTCTATCACCGAAATGTGCTTTTACCAATTTAGCTAAAGGCCCATGTTGATAGATTAAGGTTTGAATCACCCATTTAAGGCTGCCACAGTTTTTCTCGTTATGACTTCTACTCAGTCATGTGAATAGTCATAACACATGATCAATATGTAGTAATACAAAGGCAAAAATGTTCAGCAAGCGTCTAGACAAATGCCGTCTTTGATTGACATCATTAAAAGCTTTCTGAAAAACAGAGGCATAACTAAAAAAATAACAAAATGTATTAAATGCAACAGGAGTAGCTCAGTTGGTATTTTGTCCCTGCAACTCTTCTGAACGGTCTCTTTGTTTGAGTTGGTGAATGCTGCCAAAATTTCTTTAAAATGAAGACAAAACAGACATATACAGGGTGCGATGGATAAATTATCACCTAAATGGCACAAAAATAAAAATAACACTGACATCTCATTTTAACAGATATATTTACTAAAATGATACAAAAACATATTAAAATACTAAAAAGTAAATTTATTCAATAAAATCGCCATTGACTTCAACCATGGCCTCCAAACTACTTCGGAATCTCCTGCATCTCTTCTGGATGGTCTCCTTGTTTAAATTTATGAATACTGCCATAATCCTTGACTTTAGTTCATCTTTGGTGTTACAAGGAGTTTTGTTTGTTAGTCTCTCATTCAACTGCACCCCACAGATATAATAATCAAGGGGTTGCAGTCTGGGGAGTTAGGTGCCCATACATAAGGGGTGATGTGGCTACAGAAATTGTCTGACAGCCATGACTGGGTTCTCCTGCTGGTGTGGCATGGTGCAGAGTCCTGTTGCTAGACATAGGGTCTTCCAGCAGCCACCCTCTTGATCCAAAGACTACCTTCTCAAGGCACTCTATGTAGGCCTCTGTGTTGAGTCTAAGCCCTGTGGGAAGATGAAAACATCGCCATCAATGGTGATCACTACAAACACGTTTGTCATCACCATTAGACTCATCCATCTCTTTCTGAATCCTATGCACTCTCCTGTCCTTAGATTGACACCCAAACACTTTGAAATGTTCATATTGGAGCAGTACAGCATGCTATTTCCAAATTCTTGGAGTGAATTGTGTCATGGTGTTCATTTTTTCAGAGACGTTGGCATGTGTGAAATTAAAATTTAAAATAGCGACAATTTACCCATCGCACCCTCTCTGTGTGTGTGTGTATGTATGTATGCATGCATGTATAATATATAAATTAACTGATTTAAAATATGGTTTATTCACTACACAGGAATTACCATGTTTCAAAAACTTGAAACTAAAAACTTCAAATTTAATTATATAATTAAATTAAAAATATTAGTTCTGTTTCATCTTCAAGTGAATTTTGGAATAACTTATTTTTAAATTTACTGAGTTTTAAACACACATACAATTCATAATTTTTTGTTTCAAAGGATACAGAGAAATCCAATCATTTAGACAGGGGCAGTAGCTTGTTCATCTTTATTAACTATTATTGTATCAATTATGAGTTACATTTGAAAAAGAGGTTAAGTCTTGGTAGGGTGGAGGTGCATTTTTCAACAAATTTGACATCCGTTCAATGCATGTTTGTTTTTTGTTGTTTTTTTTTTTTATCAACGTGAAAAAAGTTTTTTGGCATTTTTTTCTATTAAATTCGTACTTGTATAGATAAAGATTCTTTCTAAAAGGGCTGTTTGGGTCAGAATACATTATATTGAACTACAATTTTAAAATATTGTTTTTATTCTTAATTACTAATAGACTATATTTCTTTTTAAAACAAATAAATGGAATAAAATTACTTAAATTATTTAAAAATTATTACATATCAAATATAAGTATGTATATTTCCAGCTAATACCAGAACTAATGCTTTTAATTTAATTATATAATTAAATTTGAAGTTTTTTAACTTTTTTTTTTGAAACCTGGTAATTCCTGTGTAGTGAAGAAACCATATTTTTAAATCAGTTATTTTATAATATTTATGCTTTGTAAATTTATTGAACACTGTTTTTAAAAATAAAAATATCAATTAAGAATTTCGGATTTATATATCTTATTTATTTTTTTTTTTATTATAATATATATTCCAATCATATATTTTAAATATAACAGACAACGAATGTCTATTATGTTTCATAATCAAACAAGACATTCATTGTCTGTTATATTTAAGAGTTGAATTTTGAATATATATATATATATATATATATATATATATATATATATATAATATGATGTACCAACTATTGAAAAAAATAGATTGATTTCTATTACTTTTCCATTTCTCAATTATTTTAACTTATAATTTGATTTTAGCCATAATTCCCATGTTAAGATTTTGCATTATGGGATTGATTTTCCTAATTTTTTTTTTTTTTTTTTTTTCCTTTCGACATTTTATCAGACGGAAGGTAGATGTCAGTTCAATGATTAAAGTGCCTTCCCCCACCTCTCAGATCAATGTCGGGGCATTTTGCATTTAATAAAAGCAAATATTTCAAATTGAGATTTTCATTTTTCTCGGTGATTTATTCTTTTCAATAAAACTTCAATTTTGGAAAGTTTCAAACATGATTAAATTTAGAGTCAGCAACTGGGTAATGAATTGTTTTCAACATTTTCTCACAAACAAAATGTTGCAAGCCTATTTCTATTTCCATGGAAAATTTTCCTTAGCTCCTAATTCAGACTGCCGTGCCTTGTACATGGGGGTCAATTCCTCCTTTCATTTCCTTCATATTCCATTGGTAAGGAGGAAGTTTCACTCAGCTTCTTCCCAAGACCCACCAGGCTATATACACAGTAGTCTCATCTGCATTCCCTTTGTAAGGAGGAAGTTCCACACAGTGCTTCTTCTCCAGAATTGTACTTTGTTGAACAGACTTCCCAAAGGATGCTTCCCTAATCATTACATTCTTAAACTTTTCACATTTAAGGTCAATCTTTATCCATCCACTATATCTTCATATTCTGCACTTACTTCCTCCTCTTACATTGCTACAACAACCTTTCTCAGTAACCCTCTACCTTAAGTGGCTCTTGTGTCTTTTATTAGGTAAATAGTTTTAAAATATGATGATCTGGCATCTTCTTTAATCAAGACAAAATTACAAAAAAAAGCATTTGATACTTTCTTGTATTACCTCTTGGAGTCTGTAGTCTGTGTTAGTAGTAACTTAAATTTCTAAGTTTTGGTCTTCAGGGTTGGCACAAGGTCTTGGTCAGGAGGTCTGGGTGAACAATGTGGGGACTCTTGAAGTTGTCCAAACCTCCACCTTATATGGAGTTATGTGTCTGTCAGGGATGGGTTTGATCAGGGTCTGTGTTCAAATGTCTTCCACCCCTAGCATCAACCTTTTTCTAAAATTCCAAAATACTCAAAATGTTTACTTGAGTGATTTTCCAAATTTGGGGTTGTCCAGCCTCGTTTTCAGATTGGTTACAAGAATCGAGCCATCCCTTAACTCCTTTCACATCTCATCTCACACCATCGTACCATATAGGCAATGCTAACCTCTCTCTCTCTCTCTCTCTCCCTTCTCCCACTTTCTCAGTATCTAAGCTCATCCCACTTCAAGTTTGAAAATACTGTCCTATGATGAATCAAACTTTCATTTCATTAATCTAAAAACCCTGCCATTAAATCTCAAGAATTGTCATGGGTGGGAAAAAAAATGAAAGAAAATTATTCCCAATCTCTTTAGTTTTAAAAAATATCTTTTTATCTTTTCTCTGTTTAACATTTTTTACAATCAACAAGACCACACATTTTTTTTATTTTTTACAGTTCACAAAAAAAAAATTAATTTTCTTTATCACTTGTATCCAAAGGTATCAGAATTAATGTTGGACATAAAATTTTTCTTGACAAATGTCACAGAAATTATAATGAATGAACCCATCAGGCTGATCACTATCTTTGTAAGGACACTTTCCTTCTGACTGGTTGATTCAAACTTGATGTTTTTCCTGGCTCTTTGTCCAGAGGAATCATAAATTTTATTTCAGCCGCTTTATCGACATGTTTTTTTTTTCTATTTGAGATCTTCGAGGATACATTAATGGTCTCTTTCTTATCAGCAGGAAGTGGGGAAGGATGGATAATCTTAGCTTTAGTCAATCTTACTGAATTCCATCTCGTTAAACTGGAGTTCAATTCTCCTGGGAATTATTTTGAAACCTGATTTTTTTTTTTTTTTTTTTTTTTTTCAGTGCATTTCATTTTTAATTTACTTTTCAACTTTTCAGTCCATCTTCCTGCAAATTTCAACAATTATCATCCAGTTAGTAAACTCTTTCCTCTTCCTTCTTTCTTTCTTTTCCTTTGATCAGCCCTCTGAGACCCCAGTGTCACAGTATAATTGAATGCTTATCATGGAACTTCTGTTGGTCTGGTAAAATGAATAATCAGGCATGGTTCTGAAATCAAAGGTGCCAGAAAATTAGTAGTGTTATTAAGTCAAAATAGCTAAAAACACAGATAGTGATCATGACTTGTTAATTTTTCTTTCTTTCTTTTTTCTAGGCACAAGAAGACCTGACAGAATCACAGAAAGTGTTTGATGAAATTAATGAGAATTTGCACATAGACCTTCCAGAATTTTATGATGAGTAAGACAATTTACTTGAAATTTTCTAATGTTTTGATTAAATCAGCAATATTATGTTTTCATTAATTCAGTTGTAATTCACATTAATTCATTAATTCACATAGCTGGCAGAAGAAAATGATTCATGACTTTTCCAAGGGCAAAAGTGAAGTCAAAAAAGTTGTTTTCTTTGTTCACATATATTCTTATATTTGATGACATTTTATTTCACCAAAGATCAGTGTCTCACTCTTCTTTTGTAGAGAGTCAGCCATGTTAGTATCTGTGCTTTTATAGCTTTCCAGTGTTTCTAAGTCTTAATTTTAATACCCAGTTTCACCGTTATAATCTCTGTTACAATTGTATGTGATGTGATATTATATATACAGTTCTTGGTCATGTCTAAAGAAAACCTTATAGAATGTGCTTTTAAAATACACTCAAAAAATTTAGACATGAACAATCTTTTCTTCTGATGTAATGGAATAACCTGTCACCCCCATGAGTGACTACACTATAGGCACTAACTACCTATAAGTATCTATAAGTCAACAGACTACAGAAATTAGCTGGGATCTGTTGAGTATGACTCAGACTTACACGAGAACTACCGACCTTCCAATAGTAGCACTAGCTACTGGATTGATATGCGATGATCTTGTATATAACTGTTACCTTTATTCTTATTGTATTGGTTTTTACAATAAACATTTTACATTTTATCCACTATTTGTTAACATGGAATATAAAATCTTCTAATCAAATAACATTCATCTGATAGAGAGAAATTAAGGTAGGTTTTTGGTCCAGTCAAGTAGGCATTTCAAAATCTGATTAAAGGGGGAGGGGCATGGTGTTCTATATTAGATGGCCAAGTCGTAATGTAGCGAAGGGACAGAACCAGAAACCAGTTTTAAAAATTCCTTGACCCAATTAGAACAGCGGGACATTTTAATTTCAGTTTGAGTTTGAGCTAGCTACTCCATGATTGTTAAGTAATTCAAAGAAATTTTTCCTTACATTTGGAATATTTATCTTATTTAATTGAAGTATTTATTTAGTTAATTGAAGATAATTCTTATGTAATTATAAATATATATATATATATATATATATATATATATATATATATATATATATGATTTTGTTCATTTTTGTGTGTAACAATTGAGGGACAGACATGAGTTATGGGCAACATGAATTGTGTTGAATATTTGTTTTATGACTTTAACTATATTTTATTTAAATTAATTTTTTTGAAAAAAATAAAGCTTGCAATAGTTTTAAACTTAATTTAAAATTATTTACTTTTTTCATGTTAGTAAGAAACCCAAAAACAATGAAGTTTATTTTTGAAAGATTGAATAAAAAATTATTTTCCATAACATAAATAAATTATTTTTCTGTATCATAGTCTCGGGGTGGGACAGAGACTCTTGTGCCAGCACAGCCTGGACTAATTCAAGATATTTTGTTTGAAATGTGTTTTTGTAAAGTAAGAAAGATGAATAAATATTAAATTTTGTTTTTGAATGTTGAGTTAATTCTCCTTGGCTAAATGGCATTTCAGAAAAGATGGATCTACACAGTTGATTGATTTATATATATATATATATATATATATATATATATATATATATATAATTTCAGTTGACCCTGACGATCTGCATAGGTGAAACCTAGGTAGGTTTACCTGGCTCTTTAGGTTCATAGTTAGGTTTGCTCTACTTAGTGTATTGAGCACTCTCTGGGTGGTATATATTTTAATATATTTTCTGTTTATACGTTATTTTTATAGGATACATTTATTTAAATAAATGCACTGTAATATATATAATAAACAGTATTAATTACATCTACCGGCCTGAATGTCCTCCAACAAGAATCAAACCTGTATCCTACATGGAACCATCATTTGGCCTGATGTGCTATGCCATTTAGCTACAGAGGAAGCATCTGGTTAAAGTCAAATTAATGTTTTCAAACAAACAAATTTTCCACAATCTTATCTACTTGTAGCATATCTTAACGTAAATAAATGACAACATATATTATGAAATGGACTAAGTCCAACAATTATTTTAATATATTTTCTGTTTATATGTTATTTTTATAGATACAATTATTTAAGTAAATGTTTATAATAAACAATATTAATTACCGGCCTGAATGTCCGAGAAATTTTGTAGAAAATGTGTGTCCTCCAACAGTTTAAAAACAGTAATTTGACTTTGCTAACAAGATGCTTTCTCTGTAGCTGAATGGTATAGCAAATCAGGCCAAATGACAGTTCCATGTAGGATACAGGTTTGATTCTTGTTGGAGGACATTCAGGCCGGTAGATGTAATTAATACTGTTTATTATATATATTACAGTGCATTTATTTAAATAAATGTATCCTATAAAATAACGTATAAACAGAAAATATATTAAAATATATACCACCCAGAGAGAAAAGGAGGAAAGCCATCTTAGAGTGAAGGTGACCAAAGTGAAGAAAAGGCAAAAATCCAGCAGAAGTGTGGTAGCTGGGTGTAGTTGGCCTTAAAATTGAGCTCCCCACTTTTTGACAGCACAGAAGTTTAACAGACAAAACCCACCTGGCTTTTAAAAGCCAGTATTTGACATCCCAGTTTTTATTTAAGTTTGAGCCCCAGCTGCTGGTAACAACGGTAAATATGAAATGATTAGAACAATCATGGGCAAACTGTGACCTGTGTGACACATGCAGCCTGTTTGGTTTTCTGAATGCCATGCTGAATTTTATGAGGAAAATAACATTTAATAAAATTGTGTTTGTTTCATTTCGTCCTCACTTGTTCACTCACATTTTCTCATACATAATCATGCACATAAACAATGATTAATAAAAATCTTTATTGAATTTTGTAATATTCATTGAAGGTAACACTTTCATCAGATTAAAATCATTGGCCATTTTCACTAAGGAAGATTACCTTGAATCTTTTTAATAGTGCAGCCTACCCTATATCTTATATTGCCCTTGCCTGTTTTAAAACTTATTTGACAATGTTTTGCTTTATGAAAAGGACATTTTTTTTCTAATATTCCTTTTTTTTCTTGTTGTATTATATTCATTCGTAATAAGATGTTACTGAGTCATTGTTTTTGTCTTTTTCTTTGCAGTCGGATTAGATTTTACTCTACCATATTCCAAAGTCTTTTCGCTGCCGAAAGTGTTTTCCACTCTGAAATGGGACAGGTGTGTCTATAATTTCTTTATCACAAGACATCTTTTTTTCGTGTGAATAAAACTTTCATTTCCAAGAGATTTTTTTTTTTCCTCATTAAAATTTATTTAAAAAAATCCGTCATCACACCAATATTTCCCCATTTTTATAATTTAAAAAAAAATATGCTAAAAATTGTTTCTGTATCTACAAGGTTATTAGGAGGAAAATCCTAATAATCTTGTAGATATGAACTAAGCCTCTAGAACCTTTAGTTAAACATTTATTTTGTGGTGTTGTGGCATACAAACTTCCCTGGCACATGCCAGGAAAGTTTAAAAAAATATTAAGCCCAGGCCCCAGGAGCCCCCCCTTCTCAGAGTGTACCTCTTCTTCTGGAGTATGCTAGGCTCATTGCCTAGTGCCTGAAGCATCCCCAAAAGGGAAAGTGCTGGGGGTATCTTGGACAATTTTTCCAGGATATTGCCATTAAACCCACTTTAAACCTTTGTGTCACACATGATAGTGACATGGGCGCTCTGCATACTTGATATACAACAGGTTGATAAGCCATAAAAAACAAACTGATTAAAAAAAAAAAAAAACTTGAGAAATAATATATATTTGATATATATAAACTAATTGATAGCTTAGTCATTTCTGAAGGCTTATAGCCATATTGCATTTCCCATATGATCACCAAAGTTAAGTAACATCAAGCCTGGTCAGTACCTAGATAGATAAACTGCTTGGGAACATTAGGTGCTGTAAGCTTGGATGTGCAGGTGGTGTAATGGATAATGGCTTGGAATTGTAAATCAGAGAGCTGAGTCTTGATTTCAGTCGGGATTATTATATTCACTTAAATGCAAATACCCTTCTCTCTCTCTCCCCAGCTATGGGTTAATTAGTTAGTAAGACTTGTATCAGTAAAATATTATCTCCAAAAAACTTATGCTCCAAAAATATTTTCTGGCTTTAAATAACCTGCAATAGATTGATAAGCTGTAAAAAAACAAATCAATCCGTCAAAAATATTTCTGAATGTGTTGGATGCCATGCATGACATACATGTAAGAGTCTCAATTTGATGAGGATAGTTAAGAACATGACTCTAGTTTTTAGGTTAATGTTTTGGTTTTGTAGCAATTAGTGGTGTTGGGTGAAACTATCTCTAGTGCAGCTCAACATATGTTTAATTTCCTTTTCCCTATACTAAACTTTTTATAACTGACCAATACACCGAGGTATTTGAAGTGTATCATGGCTTGGCTTTGCAAAATGAAGATCAAGAGGGTGTCTGTACAGTATACATCACTTACAGGCACATTTGTGACTGATAAGTCCAATGCAGGACAGGCATACAACATCACAGTAGTTGTAGCTGAAAGTCCAGCCTGGGATCGATGGTCACAGTGTTGCAATACTTCCTCCTCTGCCTCTTGTCCCTGAGAGTGGCCCTGCAGGTATTTTCAAAGGAGGAGACAACATGGTTGGTGTTGAGATGCCAGGCATCACAGTTCTCAGCTAGGGTTAACCATTGGCAATGGTTGATGTGGCAGGCACCAAAGGATTTTTTCAGGCAATCTTTGAATCACTTCTTTGGTGCCCCTTTGCCACAATGCCACAATAGCCAGTGGAGAGCTCACCATACAATAAAATTTTAGGCCAGCAATGATTCTCCATCTTGAAAACGTGTACAGCCCAGCGTATCTGTGACTTAAGCTGTATGGCCTAAATACTGGTGATCTTCATCATTTCAAAGATTTGAAGTGTATAGTATTTATTAATTTCACATTCTATGGTGTATACAATGTCTGTAGTGTCAAATAAACATTTTACTTTTGTCTTTGTCATTTTTTTTTATTTCTTTCCAGTTATTAACCCATTTGATTGACGTGTGTGAAAAATTATCAACAAATCACGTGGCATTGAGAAAAAAAAGACCCATACAAGAAAAGTGAGGATTTTTTTTCTTTGCATTAATTCTTTTTATCCAAAATTTCATTTGTTTCACTTGGGTATTTGGCTTGGCGGCAGGGCCAAGAATATACCAACTGTATCACTTACAATGGAATAAGACCTCCACAAAAGTAGCCTCTTTCCAGATACTCAAGTAAGAACCCTAACAGATTTTATCTGATAAGACTCTAGTACGCTCCCCGGCCCGTGTTTAGCTAATATAGACCCGAGCACGGCCCGTGTTTAGCTGATATAGACCCAAGCACACCCCGGGCCTGTGTTTAGCTGATATAGACCCAAGCACGCCCCCCTGGCTCGTGCTTAGCTGATATAGACCCGAGCATGCCCCCGGCCCGTGTTTAGCTGATATAGACCCGAACAAACCCCCACCCACCACCAGCCCGTGTTTAGCTGATATAGACCCGAGCATGCCCTCGGCCCGCGTTTAGCTGATATAGACCCGAGCACACCCCCGGCCTGTGTTTAGCTTGTGCTTACAGGCTTTAATATAAATAACCAATATTTACCAGTCAAAGATAAATGACTAATATTTTTTTTATTCTTGACACAAGTAAATGTTTATTGACTCAAATATAAATGACTAATATTTGCATATTCCCTTAACCAAGTAAATGCTGATAGACTCAAATATAATAATTCTTTAAAAAATGCCTGATATCAACACTTAAATAAACCAACAGTGGGTGAAATGTTATAAAATCAATGATCACAACATTATCAGGATTTTAGTACTTTTTCTCTTTTTTTTTTTTTTTTTTCTATCAATTGACCTCAATCAAGGCAATAATGCCACTAAGACACAAGGGGCTATTGGGAGTGAAATAGAATTTGGCAACTTTAAAAGGTACTGGAAGTCCAATCCTAAACAGCCAACATGATTAACCTCTACTCCTGTTCAAAAGACTGTTGGGGAGTGTGAACCGAACAATCGGCAAACCTATACAACATTTTGATTGCTTTACCTGCCAGCCTTCTTCACTGTTCTGGGTATGACAATAAACTACATCTGGCAGCAAGGAGGTGTGTGGAAGCACGTCTTCATTGCTGTTGTTCCCAAATCTATCTGGATCCAGGATGGTAGCACCTGTTTGGGTCTCAGTTATGGGCAAATAGTAAACCCCCACCCCAAACAAAAACAAAACACTATGAAAGTATAAAAATAGATTTTTATAGTAAAAAGTACCAGCAATGCATTTTTATATAAAAAAGAAAATTACCAACAATACATTTTATCTGTAGCTGAAGCCATAAAATTGTGTTTAAAATGTTTAGATTTTGGCATTAAATAAACTATAGAGGTGTTGATACACTGCTAAATGAAATCAATCAACCAGCAATACTTATTTAAAGCAAAATTATCAACACTATATTTTATCTGTAAGTTGAAGGCATAAAATTGTGTTCAAAATAATTTACATTTCGGCATTAAATAATCCATAGAGGTGTTGATAGACTGCTAAACCAAATCGACCATTCAATGGTTTTCTTCAGATGTCTCTCATATTTTGTACTCTTCTCAGAATTTTGAACCAAACCCTTTTAGTTTATGGGACTAGAATGCGTACATGCTTGGGGATAATATCTTCTATCTCCAATTTGTTCAACTTTGTGTCTGTCTGTCCATTTTCATTTGCTTTAGATAATAATGTTGAAATCGTTTCTTTCCACAGCAACCACATCAGTTTTGATAGCCAAGAAGCGAATCAAAGTTCTCTGGTTGATTCTGGTAAGTGTCTCATCAAACAATAATTTTAATAAACAGTAAAATTAAGCTGCAAATCAAATTGTTAATTTATCGGCTTTTTGTATTGTCCAATTGAACTTTTACAACTTCCATTACAACATACAATAATTTCCTTTTGAATTTCTGGGATGAAATGTTATCGTTATTTACACTATTTACATTGAAACTATTGTCCTCATCTTTGTTGTTATTACAATATTTTGCTGTTCTGGGTAAGACATTAAACTACATCCACGTCCTGGGTAAGACGATAAACTACGTTCAGCAGCAAGGCCTCTGATCAGGAGATTTTGAGGAGTGTGAAACCACCTCTTAATTGCTGGTGTTCCCAGGTCCACCCTGACCTGGGGTGGTGGTACCTGTTGGGGGGGTCCCAGCTGTGGGTAAATGGTTAACTATTATCAGCAATACTTTTTTGAAAAAAATTATTACCAACAATACGTTTTTGAAGGAAAAATATTACCAGAAACAGATTTTTGACAAAAAAAAATATTACCATCAATAAAAATTTTGGTCAGCATTAAATAACCCATTGAGGTTGATATGCTGTAAACCAAACCAAAACTACAATATTTCAGCCATTGTGCCCTCTGACCTTCATCAGGTGTATATCGATCTGTGTAACCTACAGGGAATTCTGAACTGAACCCTTTATTTAATCTACAGGGATAGACGTTTCTTGTTTCACATGTAAACAAGTTAAGTTTTTTGGAGACAATGATTTATTGATGTGTGTGAATTGATAAACAAAGTGGGTTTTTTTTTTGTATATGAGACAAAATTTGGTTACCCCCTGCCAAAAAGGAATTAAGTTAAAAGGTGGAGGAGAGTGTAGATAAAAGAAAGTGGGGAGGAGAGTGAAGATAAAAGAAAGGGGGGAATCTGAAAGAGAGGGAGGAGAGTTAAGAAAGAGGAAGGAGAGTGACGGTAAGTGGAAAAAAGGAGGGAAAATTGAAGGTAAAATAAAGAGGTGAAGGAGTGAAGGTAAAAGAAAAAAGTGTGAGTAAAAGAGGAGGAGAGCACAGGTAAAAGAAAGAGTGGGAGGAGTGAAAAAAGGATGAGACTGAAGGTAAAAAAGAAGGAAGGGGAAAAGGAGTGGGAGGGTGAAAGGTTCTTCTGCAACACCAATAAATACTGTTGAATTATTTCAATATTATAACTCGAAAAATAGTGAAAAGTCATCTGGTAAATACTGGTGGGCGTAGTCAAAAGGCAGGAAGACAGAAACGTATTAAATTCCAATTTGTCTCCGTCTCATTGATAAGACGCAATCCTAAAATTTTAAAAACTTCATTTTTCAAAGTCATTGTTCATATTACTGCAAGGAATCATTTATTTCTATTCAACAAGTGCATTCGTAAACAAACCCATCTTTTTTCATGGGTACTATGCTTGTGCTGTAATATTAAATGCAGGTGGTAATAAACATATAAAAACAAAAGTGAAACAAATTATTATTTTTTTTTTTTTTCTTCAAACCATTAGTGTCTTTTTGGTCAAGAGAAGAAAAGTAATTGTTGTTTAAAATTTTTTTTTTTTTTTTTTTTTCACTTTTTAAATTTGACTAAATTTTCTTTTCCAGATGAAAACAGCCCAACGAACATAAGTTTCCGAAAATCTGAATCTGACGTTTACGAAAACGTTGCAGTTTCTGGTCAGGTGAGAAAAGACAATTTGACTTCAGGTTCATAAATTTTCAATGTTTTAGATATTTTAGTTAAAACAAAAAAAAATGTAAATGGATTTTTAGGGTGTAAACTTTTAACCATTTTTTGAAGAAAAGAAAAAAATATATATATATATATATATAATATATATATATATATATATATATATATATATCCACACACACACTATGTTCAAAGTGCAACTTAAAGTTTTTTTGTTGTTTATTATAATTATTACAGCAACTTTTTTTTAAAATAATAATTTCAAAAAATCAAAAGTATAATTCATGCCTGATGAGTTGATAGAACAATGAAATTTTAATTTCACTTGAATGAGGTGTGTAAAATATATATATATATATATATATATATATATAGTTTCAAGGTATACTATATTTATGGGAAAAGTGCTCAATATCAGAGAGAGAACATATGTAAATATAAAAGTGAACATTGAAGTCAAAAGAGAGCTAACAGACTGTTTCATGCTAAACGCAATCATCAGGCCACATGTGTTGTTTTTTTCTACAGATGATTCATTTAGCATGAAATAGTCTGTTAGCTCTGAGTGTTGACTCCAATGTTCACATTATATATATATATATATATATATATATATATATATATTCACATACAAACCTCTTGCTGTATCACAGCTCAGCAATGTGGCTAGACACCCAATTGCTTCAAGCCAGGATTGAAACAATTTAACCTATTTATATATATATATATATATATATATATATATATAAACATATTTTATATATAATAAAAAAAGAAAAACTGTTTAATTAAAATGTGCTTGATAGACAATGTAAAAAAAAAAAATTGACAGCTGTTAAATACTAATGACAATAGTTTCCACAGATAAGGTTTCATCAAAAAAAAAATATACTGAAAAAAAAAAAATCCTAATATGCGATTATGCTGTTTTAATGTTTAATATTTTCAAATATCAGATGTTTAAAAATCTAATAGACCATCTATGAAGGACATATTCATAAAACATAATTAACATAGACCATATACAATATACAAACGTATATAAGTTTTTTGAGTATTTTGAATGAAAAACGAAAAGAATTTTATTAATTTTATTTTCACAACATCGTCCACGTGACGATGACGTGATCATATTTAAACGGAACGCTGATCTTATAAAAGATTTCAGTTATCTGTTTGGATTGGTATTGCTTTTATGTCCATCGTCTTTTTCATGTTGAATTGTATATGGTCTATGTTAATTATGTTTTATGAATATGTCCTGAAGATGGTCTATTAGACCAAAAACGTCCGACATTGACATTAAACATTAAAACAGCATAATTGCATATTAGGATTTTTTTTTTTGTTTTTTTTCAGTATATTTTTCTTCATATATATATATATATATCCATATATTATATATATATATATATATATATATATATATATATATATATATATATATATATATATATATACATGAATTAAAATTCCAGAACATATAGATTAAAAATATTTTAATTATATCTACAAAAATTTAAAACTAATTTGTATGAATATAAAATCTAAAAACATTATTTATCAATAACTTTATTGTTTGATTGTATATCCTCCACCATTTCAAGAATAAAACGATCAATAAAATGATTCAATAGGTTCAAAAATAATTGAAGATAAATATTTATAAAGTTTAACAATGATCATGAAATAACTCTACAGAATGAAACAAAAAAAAATGACCTTATTTTTTTATTAAAATCGTAAATCTGATATTTAAATGGTTAATCGAGACGAATTTTTGTTAAATATATATTTAATTTGAATTTATCCCACATTCACTTTGATTTTAAATAAAGAGGTAATGATTGATTTTTAAATTTCCCTAAAAAATCATATTTTTCACCAGTTATGATTCAGATTGAAGAAGTACAATCAAATATTGAAATAGGTCAAAACTTTTGTGTCAACGAATTAAAATGTTTTTTATTAAAAACTCTCTCAATATATATATATATATATATATATATAATAATATCAGATTTCATCAAGACATTCATTTCTGTAGTTTACTGCTACCTAAAGCAGAAATATTTCTTCTCCTGATGATGGCCATTTTGGCTGAAACTAGTCGAGGAATCTAAATGAAATAATAAAATAAAAAATATAAAATATTAATCTACAATCTGTCTGAAGATTTTAATTTTTAATAATTTTTTTATTGTCAAAATTATATATATATATATATATACTTCAATTATATTATAATTTCTTATAATAAAAATATATAATATTTGCTCTCTTTGTATCAAGCAGAATTTTTAAAAAAAAAGTAAATACTACAAACTATAGATTTTTACTCCATTTGTTTTTTTTCCTTATTTTGTGTGTGTGTTGTGTATATATATATATATATATATATATATATATATATAAGAATAAAATCTATTTCTCTCATTCACTGGATTTTTATTACTTTTCATACCTTCCTGTGTTTAATTAAACAGAATCTGACGTTTTTAATCCATTAATGCATGGGATCCAATTTTTTTAGAGACAAGCTTACTTAAAATTTTAAATTCGCCTGACATAAGATCACAATTAGCCAGCAATGTAGATGAGACAAAATGTGCTAAGAGTTTAAGAGAACGTTATACAGTAACGGATTATTTTTATTATTTTCTGAGATGAAGAGTTATTATTTTATTTACTTATTTGTAGACTATTGTCCTCATCTTTATTATCACACTGTTTCAGTCATTGTGCCCTCTGGCCTTCATCAGGTGCATGCTGGTTTACCTACACATATGATTTGGAAACTCAGTTTGGACAACTCCTACCCTGGGCTGATAAATAAAATCCTTGATATTTAAATTAATATTTTTTTGTATAAAGTTACCTCCCCAGAGAAAATTTATACATTTTGATTTTGTATTACATATCGATGTAATTTATTTATTTTATTTTTTACATATATTTCACTAAAAAAGCCGGGGATTTTTCACAATATTATGAATAAAAATGAATCAGATGTTTAATAAATATAATAAAGTTTCTTTATTTCTGTTTCAAAACTTATTTTCATGGAATTTCATTAAATCATTATCAAAACATGATGGATGATGAATTGCCTTCATTATTTTTTCCATTCAATTTAAAATTGTAAATTTTAATTTTAAAAATTTTTTTTTTTTTTAAAATTTTTTTTTAACTTTTTTTTTTTTTTTTTTTTGTCTTTCTGACCGGAATCATCCAATCCTAAACTTTCTTTTTTTTTTTGAGCAAATGATCGATCGAGAAATATCGTTTTTTTTTTTGGGTTTTTTTTGAAAAGAATCTTTAATATTTCTTTTAACCAGACCTTTTTTTTTTAGCTAAATGTTTTAAATGAAAATATCTTTTTTCAAATGTTCTTGTTTCTAATATACAGGTTCGATTTTTTTTGAAAATTTATCATTTTTATTTTATTTGTATATATTTCTCAAAATTCAGGCCATTAAATTTTTTTATTTACTTAACAATAGATAAATATATGACTTAAATATTTTCGTAAAAATTATTATGATTTTTGAATTTATATATTATATATTTATAAAAATGTGTTTGTACATTAAAACCAAATCAAATATTTATTATATATATATATATATATATATATATATATATATATATAATATATATTTTTATGAAACCAGAAAATTAATACATGTTTATATAAATGTATATTTTTTTTTTTTTATTTTTATATAAAGTATAAACAGAAAATCTTTTTTCGAACTTGAATATTTCAATCAATTATATATATATATATATATATGCATTCAATATATATATATATATATATATGAAATCTTTCAAACTCGTTTGAAAAAAATTTATTTTAGCATTTTTTTTCAAACAAATTGGCATCTTTTAAAAATTTTCTTTTTAAATATGAATACCAAAAATAGTATATAATATTTTTATATATAAAATTTAATTTTCTCCATTGACTTAAATTTGATAAAAAAACAAAAAATACAATTTATAATTTAAAATAATGGCTATAAATTGAGTAAAAAAAATAAGATAAATTCTTCTTTTATATAAAGTATATGATAAATATATATATTATATATATATAAAAATATATGAATATATATATTATATATATATATATCTTTATTTCAATATATTCATTTTCTAGGGAATTATTTTCCTTTCTTCTACCAAATATTTAATATATATATATATATATATATATATATATTTATATATATATATATATATATTTATATCTTTAATTATTTGACGATTTACATTTTTAAAAATTGAATTTTATCCTCCTTGAATTTCTAGGAAATTTTTTTACTTTTTTAAAAATATATAAAAGAGATAGATAGATTATAATAGATAGATTGATCAAATAGACATTGATATTTTTATTCAAAGGCGACAGTCTCTTTTATAATAAATTATATAAATATCTGTTAAATTCACTATTTAAATTTAATTAATTGTTTATAGACTCATTTAAACGATTGATTTGTATTGATGGAATGTCATTTGTATTTACGCTCAAATATAAATTATCTTATTTAAATAAAAATTATTTCTGCTCAAAAATAAATTAAAAGGAAATCTGCGTATTTAACGGATCAAAATACTTATTCATGAATATATAATATTACTTTTTATATATATAATATATCATTTTATATAGTCTTAATTAATATGACTCAAATCCTCTTCATTTTCCTAGAATTTAACCTAGTTATTCAAAGACGTTGGGGCGCCTATTTTTAAGCTGTTTTATTTTAGGACAAGAAGGAATTCAATATATTTATTAAAATATATTAGTAAAGACATTGAAAAGTGTTATTATTCAAATTCTTATTATAATTATTTTATTTAACATCCGGATGGAATGTCCTCTCATTTTAAAATTTCAACAACGCAGCCATCAGTTTTTTTTCCGTACAATAATTTTGAATGAACAAATAAAAAAATGAACAAAAAATAAGAATTGAG